TAGTCAAACTCCGTCGGCTGTAGCAGTGGTGTGCTTTCTGCGAGGTGACTTTTGAGTCGACTCAAAAGCCACCTTGGTGTGCTTTCTGCTTCAGCCTCAACTTCATCAGTTTTGATCCAGCTTGGGCTGGTAAAGTCTTAAATACTCTACATTCACGTCCTTTTATGCAAGCTGAGTAATTTGCACGCTGCTGCCTCGTCTGATCAGTCTTGTTTCTCTCACTCGCCCGTGCAGATGACTGCTGGCAAGCCGACTCCAGGGATTCCCATGGTCGCCTGGTGGCATCTCCGGTCTCCTTCCCGTCTGGCATCAAGGCACTCGCGGACTATGTGCACAGCAAGGGGCTCAAGCTGGGTCTCTACTCCGATGCCGGGTGAGAGGGGAGTGTGCAGATGAGGTTAGCAGGGTTCTTAGAGGGGTGGGAGGGTTGGGAGTGGTGCTGCAGACTATGTGCACAGCAAGGGGCTCAAGCTGGGTCTCTACTCCGATGCTGGGTGAGGAAGGGGTGCAGTCGGGGTGAATACGTCAGAGTGCAATCAGAGTGAAGCAGTGTTTATGTCTCAGCTGAGTGCTTGTACATGCAATTTTAGTAAGGCTGTTCTCACATCCGCATTCCTATTTATTACTCCCTCCCTGCCCCGTTCCCATCAGGAGGCACACGTGTGCAGGCAAGCCAGGGTCACTGGGACATGAGGCCGTTGACGCCCTCACCTTTGCTGAATGGGTAAGGCGTGAGATTCGGAGAAGCACGAGGTTGTGTCAGACATCTATCAGACTGATTGCTATTGCTTATTTATCTGTTCTTTGATTTCAGTCAGCTATCCAGGACATGTAAGGCTGGATCTGTTTCCTGAAATTTCTCAAAAAACACATTCACTCTGGACCACCATTGCCTGGTTACTTTTGAGGCGCCTTAAAAATTTTGAGGCGCCTCTAAAAACAGATTCACTCTGGACCACCATTGCGTGGATACAACTCAACACTGCAGTTTTTCTCCATAGCATGAACACATGGGCTCTGGGCTATGAGTCTATCTATACTGCATCATTATGCAGCAGTTAGCAGACCATTGGCTGCTGCGCTTCTTGGATGATGGCTAAGGCGTCACTTCTCACTCTCACATCTGCCTGCCACTGTTCCAATGTGCTGCCAGCGAGTGGACTATGTCAAATACGACAGCTGCTACGATGATGGAGCTCCCACCAAGCAAAGGTATGACCTCGCTGCCTCGCTGATTCTCTTCATGCGGTTCTCTTCTGTCTGCTCATACTTGCCTGGTCGTGAATTGTGTTCTTCTTTTCCATATCTTAAACTTGACAAGCTGAGCTCTTTACCTCTCTACTGCCTTCTCCCAACCTCACCCTCTGCCGGTGCATGCTTTGGTGGATGGATGGTGCTGGTGCCATCTTCAACCCTCAGCCATGCAGCCATGCGCAATGCATTAGAGGCCACTGGGAGAGACATCTCCTACTCCATGTGTGAAGGGTGAGTGGAGAGAACGCCTCATGATGTGATGGTGCCATGTGGAGACACCTCGCTCTCCATGTGTGAAGGGTGAGTAGCGCGGGCACCATGCCAGCAGTAACCTGGCTTCCACGTGTGCTGCTATCTCCTTCTGCCACGTGTGTGCTGATGCCTCCTTTTGCCACGTGTACTGCTGACTCATTCCGCCACGTGTGCTGCTGCTTGCAGGGAAGAAGGCAGCTCTGCTCTATGGGCGTATGGGCTGGCAGATCCGTGGCGCACCACCCTTAGCATTGTTGACACGTGGAGGAGGTGAGGGACACGTGGCGGAGCAGAAGGGTGGAGTGGAGAGACACGTGGCTGAAGGGAGGAGAAGCACGTGGTTGTTGTCATGGCGAGGGGATCTTAGAGGCATGGAAGAAGAAGGTGGAAGGGTGGGAGGGAAGGAATGGCAATGCACTATGTACATGTCTTCTTACTCATTCACACCATGTTTTCTCCCTGTCTGCCTGCACACATGTATGCATTTTTGCACATGCAGCGTGACGTGGGTTTCGGATGCCAGCAACAAGTGGGCCAAATACGCCGACCCTTACAGCTGGAATGGTGCGTGCAGCCACACATCCACACACACACACGAGCTGTCTTTGTAAAGCAGCGTTCGATGCCGCCATGCATTCATCTCTTGCAAATGCCGCAAGCGTTCATCTCTCAGAAGAGCCGTAATGCGCTCCAGTGTCTCGCAATACTTGCTCCAGTGTCTCGTATTCCTAGCTCTCTCCTGACCCTGCATTTCCCGATTCGCCTCCCTTACTCCCACTATGTCCCCTCCTCGTATACCAGACCTGGGCATTCTGCAGGTGGCAAAGGGCGGCATGGGGCAGTCCACTCCCCATATGCACTTCAATCCCTTACCCACTCACCTGTCCTTCCTCCTACCCACTCTCTTCACCCCACACCCACTTTCCTCCTCGTATACCAGACCTGGACATTCTCCAGGTGGCAGAGGGCGGCATGGAACAGCCCATTTCCCGTGTGCACTTCAATCTCTGGGCCATCATGAAGGTAAAATCACGCTCTTGCATGTGCGTTGTGCATACATCCAAGCGTGCGTGCATGCATTTATTAATGCGTACATACTTCCGTGGATACACTCATGCGTGCATACATCCATGTTATATATATAATATAAAAATATATTCTCACAAGTAAATACCGTTCAATACCCTTTAATACCCGTGAATACCCTTGTATCTCCCACCAGGCGCCACTCCTGCCTGCATGCGGTCTCACTACTGCATCGAAACCAGCCATGAGCCTCCTCAGCACAGACGAGGCCATGGCTCTCAACCAAGGTATGCGCATGCAAGTTGTGAGGTCCTCGACTCATGAATATGTGCTATCGGCTCAAAGGTCTCTCTGCTGCGTCGGAACCAGCCATGAGCATCCTCAGTACAGACGAGGCCATCGCTCTCAACCAAGGTATGCGCAACCCAAGCAGGCTCGATAATATGGCTAGGAGTGGTGGTGCATTCTCACTACTGCGTTGGAACCAGCCATGAGCATCCTCAGCACCGATGGGGCCATCGCTCTCACCGAAGTGATATTGTTGACACATGCTGACACATGCCGTATTGTTCTTGGTGCAGATTCATTGGGAGTGCAGGCGCGGGAGTTGCAGCTATCCGAGAAGTCTCCAGTGAAAGTGAGATCATTAAATCCTCCCTTGCACGCTATGCCTTGCATTGGCATTCCATTTTTTGCTCTTGCAATAATCAATTATTGCCTTGGGTATCTCGATCCTAATATCTATCCTTGCACTGTGCTGCTTGTTCCCAAATTTGCAGGTTTGGGTGGGATCGCTATCTGAGGGTCGGAAAGTGGTGGCATTGGTGAACCGTGGCATGAGGAGCGAGAATGTGACCGTCAGTTGGGATGAAATTGGGCTGAATCCGGAGCAGAAAATCCATGCACGAGACTTGTGGAAGGTATGTATGTCCACATGATGCCTGCACTTCTTTGCATCCCCTCCTTTCCCCCACTGCATCCCCTCCTTTCCCCCAGTGCGTCCCCTCTTTCCCCCACTGCATCCCCTCATTTCCCCCACTGCATCCCCTCCTTTCCCCCACTTCATCCCCTCCTTTCCCCCGCTGCATCCCCTCCTTTCCCCCACTTCATCCCCTCCTTTCCCCCACTTCATCCCCTCCTTTCCCCCGCTGCACCCCCTCCTTTCCCCCACTGCATCCCCTCCTTTCCCCCAGTGCGTCCCCTCCTTTCCCCCACTGCATCCCCTCCTTCCCCCCGCTGCATACCTCCTTTCCCCCACTGCATCCCCTCCTTTCCCCCGCTGCATTCCTCCTTTCCCCCGCTGCATCCCCTCCTTTCCCCCACTTCATCCCCTTCTTCCCCCCACTGCATCCCCTTCTTTCCCCCACTGCATCCCATCCCCCCTCTCGTCCCTTTCATCTCCCTGCCAACAGACCTGTCAAGACACTGGCGTATGCTCTGCCATTGGTGCAGGCACTGGCAGGGTGTGTGGTGCATTGAGTCAGAGCGGTGGTGGTATAGCCCACTGGAGACAAACTAACACATACCTCGGCTCACTTTCCCAGCCGATGTTTAACCATCAACCTTCCTCTCCCACCACTGCCCCCGCAGTCTAACTTGTCTTTCTGCCCAACGCACAATCCCGTTCTCCCCCTCTCCCTCTCTCTCCCTCCTCGCCTCTGACCGTGCCATTCTGCCTACTCCAGCAGGTGAAGGACGTGTTTGACACCATGGTACCAGCTGTCGGCCTCTCAGTGGCTCTCATCAACGGCCAATCATCGCTCGCTGGTGAGGCAACCCACCTGAGGGGCCCTTCACATCTCCACTCCCCGCCTTCACATCCCCACTCCCCGCCTTCACATCCCCACTCCCTGCCTTCACATCTCTTTTCACCTCTTCCCTTCCCTGACCTTCCTTCCATGCCTTTCCAATCACTGCCATTCCCTTCCCTTGCCCCACCCTTCCATTCCCTTGTATGCCCCTCCCCTTCACCCTCACTGACTTTTCCCTTCTGCCCCCTAGTTGTTGTGCATATGGTGCCATCACTTGCTTGTATTCAAGGTTCTGTTTCTCCTCTTCCGCCTCACAGCACGTCCCCATTGGGTCTTCACACAATCGTTTCTGCCTACTCTGCTAATTGGTAGTGTTGAAACAGGGCAGCAGATGCAAGCAGAGGCGCAGCTAGTACCGGTAGTGGATGGTGCTCACAACTTTTGTATAGGTAGTCTCATGTGTGTTGTATGATTAGTATGTTACTGCTTGAGACATTCGTCACAAAGCCCGCTATGTGCTACCACGATTTCAGCAGTGCAGATTATTCAATCAAGATGCATGGACAGTATAAAGGTGTCACACCACATACAGCTAGAAGGAAATATGTTCTCGCTATGACGAATACTATACCATTGACCCTTTCACTAGCTAATTTGACATGAAACGATGGCGTGAGGCAATTTGAAGCGTGAAGATCTTCAGTTCAGAGCAGTTGGTTACTGAAATGCCGGTAGTCGGGGAGAAGGGGAGTATTTGAACCATAGGCTGTGATGACAGAAGTGAGGAGGGGAAATGGGGGGAATCAAGGGGGCAAATGAGGGGAAGAAGGGGGGGAAATGAAGGGAGGCAGGAGGGGGCAGGGGAGAAATAAGGAGAAGCAGACTCTGGAAGGGTTTAGGGAGGATGCAGGGAGGGGAGAGAGGTATGTAGGGCGGGGAGATGGGGATGCAGGGAGAGGAGATGGGGATGCAGGGAGGGGAAGGGAAGAAGGGTCGAGGAGATGGGGTGGCGGGGTGAGGATGAAGAGGTAGGACGGAAGGGCAGAAATAGAGGAGCTGAGGGGAAGGGGAGATGGGGAGGCGGGGTAGCGAGATGGGGAGGTGGGATGTGAAAAACAAAAGGGGGAGACAGAAAAGGTGCGCAGAGAGGGTTGGCGCTGATGGGAGCAGTCCCGAGGATGGACAAGAAGGTAGGGGGGAGAGGGAGGGAGAGAGAAGGGAGGGAGGTGAGAGAAGGGAGGGAGGTGAGAGAAGGGAGGGAAGGGAGAGAAGGGAGGGAAGGGAGAGAAGGGAGGGAAGGGAGAGAAGGGAGGGAAGAGAGAGAGAAGGGAGGGAAGGGAGAGAAGGGAGAGAAGAGAGAGAAGGGAGGGAGGGAGAGAAGAGAGGGAGGGAGAGAAGGGAGGGAAGGGAGAGAAGGGAGGGAAGGGAGAGAAGGGAGGGAAGGGAGAGAAGGGAGGGAGGTGAGAGAAGGGAGGGAGGTGAGAGAAGGGAGGGAGGTGAGAGAAGGGAGGGAAGTGAGAGAAAGGAGGGAAGGGAGAGAAGGGAGGGAAGGGAGAGAAGGGAGGGAAGGGAGAGAAGGGAGGGAAGGGAGAGAAGGGAGGGAAGGGAGAGAAGGGAGGGAAGGGAGAGAAGGGAGAGAAGAGAGAGAAGGGAGGGAGGGAGAGAAGAGAGGGAGGGAGAGAAGGGAGGGAAGGGAGAGAAGGGAGGGAAGGGAATGAAGGGATGGGGAGAGCGGGAGTGATGGGAGAGAAGGGGATGCAGGGAGTGGGGAGAGGGGGATGCAGGGATGGGGAGAGGGGGATGCAGGGATGGGGAGAGGGGGATGCAGGGATGGGGAGAGCGGGAGGCGGGAAGGTGCTGGACGGTAGGGGGGAAGGGGAGAACGGGAGGCGGGAAGGGGAGATTGAGCCGCGGGTAGTAGAGATTGGGCGGCGGGAAAGGGAGGTTGGGCGGCGAATAAGGGAGATTGTGCGGCGGAACAGGGAGAGTGGGCGCGGCAAAGGGAAATTGGCGGCGGCGGAAAAGGGAGATTGGGCGGCGGAATAGGGAGATTGGGCGGCGGAATAGGGAGATTGGGCGGCGGAAAAGGGAGATCGGGCGGCGGATAGGGGGAATTGGGCGGCGGAAAGGGGAGATCGGGCGGCGTAAGGAAGGATTGGCCGGCGGGATGTCGAGATCGTGCGGCGTGAATGGGAGATGGGCGGCGGGCAATGGAGATTGGGTGGAGGGAAGGGGGTTGCGAGAATAGGAGCTGTCGGGGAGCTGGGAAGGGGAGACGGTGCGGCGGCTTGGAGAGATCGGGAGAAGCGACGTCGCGAGGCGGCGACTGTGATCCAGCGGGAGCACACTGTTCGGCAGATCGCGGCGCGGCGATTGTGTTCGCAGGGCGTGAGGACTTATCGTTGTGCGGCGAAGCGAACGCCGCGATGGGCAACGAGGCGAGGCTGCGAGACGCTGTCCAGCGAGGCAGCTCGGCGAGGACCCGAGGGAAGGCGAGGCGAGCACGTCAGAGGAAGGCGACGAGAGAGTCCCGACAACCTAGGCGATCGGGCGAGTGGTTGTACGCAGCAATGGACGGCATGCGACGAAAGTGACAATATAAACAAAACTCTGGCGATTGAATGCGACTTTGGCGGGTATGCCTTGGCGGACTCCTAGGCGTGTGACCTAAATAAGCGCTGCGATGTGGTCGATTCGCAATCCGTTTCTTACCACCGTGAATATCTACTGGGCTGCCTGACGGGGGGAACGCCTTCAGCATACTTTTGGTAAACTATCATCAGCATAAATTTCGGCTCTGAGGATCATCCCCCTTCTCAGTGGGGCCTCGTCACTTGTGTTCAACGGTCGTGGAGGTTGTAATTGGGTTACCATGATGTACCTTTTAGGACGTGGGCCCAATCGACTTTGATCGGCGCGATCAGAGGCGATCACAACTTTCGAGGAAGGCGGGAAGCAGATTTTAGGCAATCGGGGGCAATCAGCTGATCGCGATCAGCTGATCGCTCCAACTCGATCAACCGCCTCAAACAGCCCGATCAGACCCGATCAGACACAATCAGACCCAATCACTTGATTGCATGTGATCGGGCACCTGGGCGATGTACGCGAAATGTAACACGCCTCGCCATGGGGTCTCGAAAATCCTTGAGAATACGCCCAGATCGGAGAGAAATGCATGCTATGGCGACATTACCACGATACTGAGATTCGTCAGTCTCGCCAAAGTTGGCCTGCAACTACCAGGTAATGGGCCGAGAGTTTCATGCAAGAGCGCGAAACATTCGAGGAAAATCATCTCTGATCGGGCGGCGCGTGGAAAACGATCAGAAGCAATTCGATCCGATCCAACCCGATCCGATCAGAGCCGATCAAAGTCGATTGGGCCCACGTCCTTATAAACTTTGGGCGCTGGCTTTGCCAAATGTATACCGCTGCTTTAATCCTCCTGATACATTTCCAGGTGGGCACTCCAAGACACTTCCAGGCCAGATTTCAGCATCTTCTCGTACAAACGCGGCAAGAAGCAAACACGTTTGCCGGGGCAGTTTTCTTGTTGACGTCATAAAAAAACACGTCACTGTACCATTTCTTGTTCGAAAAAAGCCTGGGAGCGACTACAAAACTGTGCACTTCTTGGCTGGAAAACAAGTTCCCCTTCATTTCTCGTTAAGGGGTGTTCAAAGTGCTGCAGAGTTTCCGACGTCGAACTTCGTCGAGGTTGTTGAAGAAGGTAGGTGGGCCGAAGGGTGCATTTCCGTGTTCAAAGTACGCTTCAAAAAATGCTGACGCCAGCATCGCCGTTTGTACGGAACTGTGCAATGATTTGGGCGCAGAAACTGTCAAAATAACAAGATTGAGCGCATCAGTACAAGGATGGCCATACCACGTCAGACAAAATTCTAGATTGGCTCGACTGGTAATTTCGAGCATTGCGAAACATCACAACTCGTTTTGCGATTTTCGCAGCCAATAGACGCACAACAACGAGCATGAAAAAACTTTTGCGAGTTCAGTTTTGGTCTCAATTCAATTGTTCAACGGTCTGAATTCAATTTGTCCTGAGTGACAGTTCGTCGCCGGCAATGTGTTCAAAGTGCCGCATTCGACGTCAAATCGACGTCGACCTCGACGTTTGTCGACGTCGAGGCCCCGACGTCGAAGGATGTGAAAAGTTACTTCGAGAAAACAGGGTACACTGTAGTTGGACCCGCGCGACTGTCATTGACGGAAAAAGGACAGGAGGGGTTCAGAGCCTGACTGACAGGCTGAGATCCCGCATGGCTCTGGCGGTGCCAGGCCCCGGACGAATCCACCAGCCGTGAATCCGACGTGTTGGATGAGGTGGAAAAAAATGTCAGAAATCACGGATGTACAGCCACTGCAGGCAAGCAAACAGGCATGCGAACAGGCAAGCAAGCAAATCAGGGATGTCTAGGTGTTCCAAGAACCACACGTTGGCACGTGTGTTGTGTACACAGGATGCTCAACGATTGCACGCAAATTTGGTCTGTCGAAGCTCGACAGCCTGTCCAATTGCAAGTAGTACCCACCAGTTGCACGCACGATACAAGCCCGTATTTTTATCGCAGTCGTTGAACAAACAGCTTGTCACGCTGGAATCTGTCCGTTCGTGAGATATTTTGAAGAAGCTGGTTACATTTCTTCACCTGCCCACTACAGTCCCGATTTTGCCCGTGGCGAATGTTCGCGAGCAGGCGAAACTGTCCTGCACTTTAAAAACTCAAACGACATATTAAGTTGTAGAATTCTAACGGAAATCTGGTGTAACTTTTTTTTTATCAAGGTTTTCAGTTCTCGCTGGCTTCTAAGTTCGAAGCATCCTATGTTACAGAAAACTGAACGGGAAGGAAAGGCTAGGGCGGGAAGTCTTCCATATACAGTACAGCTCAGCAAAGACAAGTGCAACTTGGCAGGCCTGCACATCACCCGATGGAATGGAACGGAACGACTCCTTCGGACGGGAAGGACGGAACAGCAGCCGATCAGTGAGACCCGCAGGCCAACACGGCAAAGAAGCAAGCACCGCAGCAACACCGCACAGCTCTGGGAACTGGGCTGGGGATGGGATAGGCGGTGGGGTCCTGATTCCTGACTGACTCGACTCCCTGAGGAGAAGAGTCGGAGTTTGCTTGCGCTATTCGCATGACCGCCGTGATTGACGGGAAAAAATGGACGGCAGTTCCTTGTTCGATACAGTGTTGTACTGTACAATAGTACTTCCTGCGGAGCAAAGCGCTTGACTCGAACCCTGGCGGATGCAGACGAAAGACGTGGTGGGAGAACTGTTGGCCGGACCCTCACGACTATCCACTAGATAGGGAAGCATTCGATACAGTACAGAGGACTCCTCATTGAGCCTCTGAGGCTCCAGCTTGACTTAACAGCCCGCACCGCACTGCTCAGCCAGTGGCTGGCACTGCCAGGCTCTCCCGCAAGATCGGACGCATAAAACAAATACTGTATCAGGAATGGCCATGCAAGTGGTGCCGCAGACGACCAGGCATACTTGAAAGCCTTTCTTCGTGGCAGCCCTGTGTCTCCGCTGATGCAAAGCGCTTGACTCGAAGACTTGGAGTCGAACGAAGCCCCATGATAGTCAAGAATCTGACTCTTGAGTCGTGACCTCTCAGCAGCATGATGTGTCAGGATGTCCATCGCCTTTCTGGCCGGCAACCATGAAGAGTTCCAAGCCTCCGACTCCCAGACGTGAAGGTTTTTATATATAAAGAGCTGCTATGGCCGCAGGAATACCAGCAAACTTAGCGGATTCGAGAATCAGACAGCTCTGTACCTTTCCTTGACAAAGCTACAAGTTCCTGTGCCTGTGGCTTTATCTTATCTTGGTTCACCGCCGCCATGTCTGACAGGAAAATGGAGGTCTGGTTCGTATCCCTGTGCTTCTGCCTCGCCATTGCCCTCCACCAAGCTTCGGCTATCAGCGGAGTGTCGTCCGGTCCGACCGTTCTCAAGGTTGGAAGGAAAGAGATGAGACTCGACCTCCCGGGAACCGTGGCCCAGGCTCAGGTCCAAGCTTCTGTGCCCAAGACACACAAGACCTTCCAGAGTCCGCTCGGGTAAGACCTTGAACTCTGTTTCTTCAGCCCTGCCCTACATTACTTGCCTGTTCGCTTTTTCTTTTGTTTTGCTTGAGCAAGATGAGCTTACCTGCTTCTGCTGTGCTTGCACTGTCCGTGTGGCTGGCTGTGGCTTCATCATGTGGCTGGCTGTGGCAGATGGAACAGCTGGAACCACTTCCAGTGCAATATCACGGAAGACATTGTCAAGACTGCAGCGGACAGGCTCGTGTCATCTGGGTTAGCGGCCCTCGGCTACGTCTACGTCAACATAGGTGAGGCACGGCTACCCCTCGCTTCATCCTGCACACTCTTCATTCTTCATGTGGACAATGGGCCTCGTGCCTCCTGGGCTGTTACACAGGCTGTTACGAGGCGTGCTCCCTGCATAAATCTCTCGTCATTCAACGTTTTCCACCATTTTCCCAGCAGTTTGGCTTCTTGTAACACAAGCTGTGGCCTCTTCTGACGAATCCTGTTTCTTGCTTTCTCTGGCAGATGATTGCTGGCAAGCCGACTCACGGGATTCCCAGGGTCGCCTGGTGGCATCTCCAGCCTCCTTCCCGTCTGGCATCAAGGCACTAGCAGACTATGTGCACAGCAAGGGGCTCAAGCTGGGTCTCTACGCCGATGCTGGGTGAGTCAGAGTGTGGGTATGACCTGTAAACAGGGCTTGTGATGGTAGTGGGAGCGGTGGGGACAGCTGTGCAGGCTTAAAAACGCTCTTCTCAAATCCACGTGCCTCTGCTGCTCTACTCACCCTCCCTCCGATCCCTCCCTTTCTGATGTCTTTCTCAGGAAGCGCACGTGTGCGGGCAAGCCAGGGTCTCTCGGGAACGAGGCGACTGACGCCCTCACCTTCGCTGAATGGGTCAGTCACGAGGCTGAGCTGAATCTGCTTGCTGAATCTGCTGGTTTCAGTATTCCTTGCTTCTCTGATATTCAAGCGTTGCCGTCTCACATCAGCGTGCGATGCTGTGGCTGTTTCTGTGTGATGCCAGGGAGTGGATTATGTCAAATATGACACCTGCTACGATGATGGAACTACCACTAAGAGAAGGTACGCCCTGTCTGCCTCGCTCCTGTCTGCCTCACTCCTGTTGAACCGTGACTTGCATTTCCTTTGTGCTCATGCACCGTCCATCCCTTGTACTCTTTCCTTCAGCCCATACACTGCTCAACCTTGAATACTCAACCTTCGAGCCCCATATCTCTCCCCTGCCTCCCTCTTGTTCCTCCCTTTGCTGCCTTATGCCCATCGTCAACCCTCAGCCAATCAGCCATGCGCAATGCCTTGGATGCTACCGGAAAAGACATCTCGGTCTCCATGTGTGAGGGACAAGCGGACAGCTCTGCTCTGTGGGCGTATGGGTTGGCGGATCCCTGGCGCACCACCCTTGGCGCTGATGACACGTGGCGGAGCGTGACGTGGGTTTCGGATGCCAACAACAAGTGGGCCAAATACGCTGACCCTCGCAGCTGGAATGGTGCGTGCAGCCACACATCCATGAGTTTACTTTTCTTGGGGCCTGCCAGTGAAGCATGGCGTTCCAAGTATTTTCGCAAGTGTTTGAGTCATGTGGTGAAATCTCTCTCCTCACCCCCCACTCGTCTCTTCTCCTGCCCTACCCCCACTATTGGCCCCCCTCCTTCATCAGACCTGGACATTCTTCAAGTGACAGAGGGCGCCATGGGAGAGACAGAGCACCATGTGCACTTCAATCAGTGGGCCATCATGAAGGTAAAGACACACCCCTGCATGCTCACATACATGCATGCATGCACACGTGCCTGCATGGCTGTATCATACCTATCCTTGCATGTATGCACACATACAGCTTGTCATTCCCATCCCTTCTGCGCTGCATTGTCTCACAACCTCCGACCCTTTCACCTCCCACCTATTCGCCTCCCACCCTTTTCACCTCCCACCAGGCCCCACTCCTGCCGGCCTGCGCTCTCTCTGCTGCATCACAGCCAGCCATGACCATCCTCAGCACCGATGAGGCTATCGCCCTCAACCAAGGTATGCACCCAAGCAAGCTGGAAGTCTGGTTATTGACTGCGTGTTACTTTCTTGGATTTTGCTGACACGTGCCGTGTTTTGATTGGTGCAGATTCATTGGGAGTGCAAGCACAGGAGGTGCAACTATCCAAGGAATCTTCAGTGAAGGTGAGAACTGACGCATCAAACTCTCTCTCTCTCTTGCACTCCGTTGCATGTCTTAACTTATACAAGCCGAAGGACAGCCTTGAATCCAGATTCTCCATTTCAGCCGACTTGTATAAACTTGCTTGGAATCACACTGCTTGATTCTCGTCCTTATTTTGTGCTACCTGTTCCCGAACCTGCAGGTCTGGGTGGGATCGCTATCTGAGGGTCGGAGAGTGGTGGCATTGGTAAACCGTGGCGGGAAGAATGTTGTCGTCAGCTGGAGAGAGCTTGGGCTGAATCCGGAGCAGCGGATGCACGCTCGAGACCTGTGGCAGGTATGTGTGTCCGCACACCGTCTCTTTACTTCCCCGCCTCCCCTTCTCACCTTTCCTCTCGGGCTGAATCCGGAGCAGCGGATGCATGCACGAGACCTGTGGCAGGTATGTGTGCCTGCTCCATGTCTCTATACTTCCCTGCCTCCCCTTCTCACTCCTAATTTTCACTCTCTACCTCCTAATGTACCGCCCTTTTTTTTCTAGACATGTGCATGCTGGCACATGCGCGCAGACATTTGCGCAGATCTGTTTATACATCACGCTTTTTGTTTGTTCTCATATGTGTGCTCCTCTATATGTGTGCTCCTCGTGGTCTTTATTCTCTGTGGTGCAGAATTCCATCATTAACTCTGCCAACTCTAATGAGCTCACCGCCCAAGTTCCAAGCCACGGTGTGCGATTATTTGTTCTCTCGCCTGCAACAGATGCCAATCTGAAACAATAAAATCACTGGGAGCAGCAGTGTTCGCCCTAGCAGCTTGTAGGTCCTCAAGGCATGTGTCTCTTTCTCCCAATGGGTGAATGGTGGTTACTTCACCGTATGGTGTCTTGGGTTTTTCTGCCTTGTGGTAGTAATAGCCAGCCTTGCAAATTGTGGGTCTAAATATTTCAAAGGAAGCGCATATCCGCACGCATACTAATATCATCTGGAAACCGAGTTTAGATCAATTGTTTGCTTTCCATCACCCAATTGTAACCTTGGTCTTGAGTGCAATGTTACCTGCTGCCCATACTTTCGCCACCCGATCCAACTTGCGGACCATTTGTTTCCATCCAACCAACCAGCCTCCAACACACAGGATCAACAAAGGATTCAGGGCGCGAGCAGGGCTGTCGATTGGTTCCAGGCCAACACTTGAGAGTCTGAGGTGCCCGTATTTCAGCCCTGAAATCTCCGGGTAGTGTCCTTTACCGAGCCTTTAACCGTTCTGGAAAGCACCCAACCAAAAACTTAAATTCAGGGCTACACTACAACAATCAGGGCAAACTCAACATGACGAAAACGAATAGATGTAGAGTTGACCCCCGAAGAGTTTCTCCCTTCGAAGATCTGGTACACACCTGCCCAGTCCACGTCGTTAACTAGCAATTTCACGGTCATGTGGAAAAACGGGAAGGGAGAGGGTGGGGTGGTAGGGGGGTGGGGGTAGAAGGGCTGTGGAAGTTCCGGGTAAGGCCGAAAACTTCCGCGGGGATTCAGGGAAACCCTCCAAGAGGCCCCTGTAAGAATCAGGGGAAGGCCCAGCCCACGCCCGTTATCATTCCGGGCTGTACAAAAAATCAACCCTGAGAATCTGGACTTTGGGGCAAAGTCAGACCTTAATGTTCAGGGCATTAAGGCCATATGCCCTTGAATCGACAGCCCTGGGCGCGAGGCTTTTGACGCAAATCCCTAGTTTTGCTCCCAGGCGAGTTCAAGCCTAGAAAAGAGTTGTCATCACAAGTAGTTCCTCCATATCACCGTCGATCATAGCTGCCTTGATTTCTCTCTGGGACTCTTTTGGCCGGCAGGTCCTTGTTTCTCAACATTCCAGGTTCGCTTGGCTACTAATTCAAGCAGTATGTACAGCAAAAAAGACTTTCCAGGGCGGAAAGTCTTCCATACTGTACACTGTACAGTATATCATGGCCCACAGGCAACAATGCCATGCAACTGGGCAGGCCAGAAGATCATCCAATTTGGATCGAAGTTAAACTTTGGATGCATCTTCCGAAGATGCAGATGATGTGGTGGACAGGACAGAGCGAACGGCTCGTTCGTTGACAACACTGTTGGCAAGCACGCACAGCAGTGACGATCAGCGAGGCCTGCAGGGAGAACTTCAAGAGGCACATGCGAGTACTTCACCGCCAGATGCTAGTAATGATCGTCGTGACGTGACGTAAAGACGAGGCGACCAGGCCTGCGACCACCTGTGCGACCAGGCCTGCGACTCCATCGATTCGTTCATTTTCTGCGGTACTGGGAGGCCTGGGAGGCGGCAACTTGACTCAGTCAAGGCTTGAACCCTAAGATGATGCAGACGAGACGAAAAACACGGTGGAGCACTAGTGCTGCCAGCAGTCCGATCACTGCTGACCGGACCTGATCACACGCTGTCCGGCCGTACGGTAATAAAATAAGAGAAGCCAACGTTCCGAGGCTCTTATTGCCTGCTAGGCTCTGAAAGTCCCTGGCTCTCAGTGAATGAGATCCACGCGGTGAGAGAAAATCGCCGCGTAGCAGGCCAGGTAGCCTAGGCTGCCTGTGGCGGGCCGTCGCATGATCAATATGCCCATGGAAAATGGGCAGCAGGAAGACCTAGTATTCAGTCATGTCATGACAGAGAGGTGGTCCTCTCGGCATGATGTGTGAGAGTCCTTTGCCGGATCGTCTGTCCTTTCTTTGCCGGCCGGCAGCTAGCCGCTCCCTGCCGGAAGACTCTTTCGGAAGAGTCTTCTGTGAATGAGGCAGCTGCAGTGCTCATTCTTGGAATGTCCAGCAAACACCTGCGGATTCCAGAATCAGAAAAGCTTAGCGGCTTCTCTGACAGAGCTGCTAACTGCCAGTTAGTCCTTCCCGTGCCTGCTGCCGCTGCCAGCAGTGCTTGCAGTGCCAGCAGTCCCAGCAGTGCTTGCAGTGCTTGCTCACGCGTTTGGACTTCCTGGTCCAGCGCCGCCATCATGCCTGACAGGAAAATGAAGGCCTGGTTCGTATCCCTCTGCTTCTGCCTCGCCGTTGCCTTCCACCAAGCTTCCGCTATCAGCGGAGGGGCCTCTGTCCCCACTGTGCTCAAGGCTGGAAGGAAAGAGAAACTCGACCTTCCTGGAACCGTGCCCCGGACACACAAGACCTTCCGGAGTCCGCTCGGGTAATACATGAAATTTTGTTCATGAGTTCCTGGGAAGCCTTTTTTCTACTTCCTTTCTTGTTTAGGCAAGATAATCTTACCTGTTGCTGTGATTGCACTGTCTGTGTGGTATGTATGCTGTGGCATGCTCTGGCATCCATGTGGCTGCTATGGCAGATGGAACAGCTGGAACCACTTCCAGTGCAATATTACAGAAGACATTGTCAAGACTGCAGGTGAGGTTGCCACCATGATGACACTGCAGGTGAGAGGTTGCCATGCCACCATGATGACACTGCAGTGCAGGTACTCCCGAGCATGGAAAAGTCTCCATGCATTGATTAATCAATGCTGTTTCCATGCAACCTCCACTATTACTAGTGGCTGACAGACTACTCCTCTGTATCACTAGTATCTGCAGTGCCAGCAACAACTTGGCAGTCCATTTCCCTAACCCCAGCCATGGCAGCCTTTCTTTTTACCAAGCCAGCTAACCAGCTCCCACTCCCCTTTCCTTGTGTTCTTGTTCCTCTGCAGCGGACAAGCTCGTGTCATCTGGGCTAGCAGCCCTTGGACATGTCTATGTCAACATAGGTGAGACAAATCTAAACTCTTCCCATCTTGCACGTACTCCATTCCTCATGTTGGTTTTGAAATCCTTAGGTAGCAGAGGCGTGCATTTTGCTTCAGCCACAGATTCACCGTTTCTGCCCAGATGGCCTGGAGCTTTTTTGAAGCTCTAGATGACTTTTGAGTCGAATCAAAAGCTGTTTCCCCCCAGATGGGCTGGAGCTTTTTGAACCTCTACATCCACGTTTTCCACCCCATGCTTCTTTTATTCAAAAAACAGGCTGTTGCCACTTCTGACCAGTCTTGTTTCTCTCCATCGCCTGTGCAGATGATTGCTGGCAAGCAGACTTCCGTGATTCAAAGGTGGGTCATTAATCAAGCCCAATCTCTGGTTGTAATGGCTCAGTCTGTAGCACCCTATCAAGTGAAAGGCTCTGATCATGCTCTAGATATTACGAGATGATGCGACTACACTCCTCCTTTTGGGGACGTGTCAACTTCTGTGACGTCTCAACGCCCTGTTAGCAATATGGGCAGCTTTTAAGAAGCCTCGGCGCCCCGTGTCGTATCATATCATGCCAGCTTCTGAGTCGTCTCAGTGCTCTGTATGGCATACAGCATGGAAAAATCTTTCGCTGCCATGCGCCATGTGGCAGCACGTCAGTTTCACAGACGTCTCAACTCTGCTGTCTGGCAGAATGCTGCTTCCTTCTGACACATCGGAACGCTCCATACGCTGGCATGGGCGTTTCTGATGTTCCAACGCTCCATGTGGAGTCATGCCAGCTTCTGAGGCGTCTCAATGCTTGGTTTAGCCGCATGGATTATTTTTTAGATGCTGCGATGCACCATGTGGCATCATGCCGACTTTTGAAACGTCTTGGCGCTTCACATCAGTGCATGTCAACGTCCAAGACGTCTCAGCTCTCTACTGGCAGCATAGATTTCTTCTCTTTTTTTAAGATGCTGCAACGCACCATGCTCTATCTTACCAACTTGAGATGTCTCTACGCTCGACAACACTGCGACGTCCCAACTCTGTGTTGCCAGCATGTCAACTTTTGAGATGTTTCAACTCTCTGCTGGCAGCATGTCAACTTCTGATCTGAGGTGTTTCATCTCTACATACGGCAGCACGTCAACTTTTGAGATGTTTCAATGCTCAGTTGGCAGCCATAGCAGCCTGTGAAACATCTCAACGCTCCACGAGGCATCATGCCAGCTTCAGAGTCCCTTTTCACGCATGGGAACCTCTGAGGCACCTCACACACACGCAGAGTCATCGCTGTCAGTGATGTGCCAAAATGTGGCAAAATCTAGAGCCCTTCCTAACCCACATGCGTCTGTTCTTTTTCTCTTTCTTTGTTTTTCCACTGATGCTCGGTTGCGCAGGGTCGCCTGGTGCCATGTATCTCCAGCCTCCTTCCCGTCTGGCATCAAGGCACTAGCAGACTACTTGCACAGCAAGGGCCTCAAGCTGGGTCTCTACTCCGATGCTGGGTGAGTCCGTGTCACGTGCAGATGGCCTCACCAAGGCTTACGTGCACAGCAAGGGCCTCAAGCTGGGTCTCTACTCCGATGCTGGGTGAGAGAGGGTTGGAAATGGGTGGGGTTTGGTGGTTGATATGGGGGGGACAGAGGGAGAAGAAGGGTTGCAGACTATGTGCACAGCAAGGGGCTCAAGCTGAGGCTCTACTCCGATGCTGGGTGAGAGGGGAGTGTGGGTATGGTCTGAGAGGGCTACCATGGAGAGGGGTTTAGTTGGGAAAGGTCCGGGGGGGTTTGGAGTGGTTCTGCGTACTATGTGCACAGCAAGGGGCTCAAGCTGGGTCTCTACTCCGATGCCGGGTGAGGAGGAGGGGATGCAGTCCGGGTGAAGGGACGAGTGCAGTCAGAGTGGGGCAGTTGATAGGCTAAGCTGAGTGCTTGTATGTGCAAGCTTGCAAATTGTGTTCTCAAATCTGCATTCCTCTCTGATTTACTCCCTCCCTGCCCTCTTCCCATCAGAAAGCGCACGTGTGCAGGCAAGCCAGGGTCACTCGGG